GGTTTGCACTTACTATCGGAGCTAATGGGTTACTCCGAGAGCAAGGCAGTGTTTGTCTTTCCGGGCTATTTAGTGTTAATTTATTAATTATTGAATTCTTTGAGATGGCTTACTATATAATGGATGAATGTGTGGAAGCTGTTGCTGGTTTCGTGTTTTTAATGATTTCTATAAGACTATATTATATGGGTTCAGATTTTGTGCGTGAGAGATGGATTCATGATCTAGGCGTTTAGACGCGAATCGTGGGCATTGTGTTATAAGGTGGGTTCCATGTTTGAGGAGTTTGATTGTCGCAGGGGCAGTGATCATCTGCGACTATATGGAACCTATGCAGGTAAGATTTGTGGTAGCCGTGGTTGGTCAACATTTGTGTTATGGCGAAATTCGGCTTAACAGTTTTTATGTACTCCTGCAATGCGTCATAACTAGGAAGGAGGGATCTGGTGTGGACGCAGGTGGTAGGGTCTTTGTTAAGTGAGATGCTGTGGGTGGTACATTATCTGCTCTGTAAGTGCTTATTTACTCTTGCCTTGACTCAGCCACTATTGTCTGCTTAGTTTGGGACTAGATGGCGCAGTGTAAGAATTTCCAAGGATATTATTTTATTGTCAGCCTTTTTCAAATATTTCACAAACCCCAGCCATACCTACCATTAAATGAAAACCGCAGGACAGGCCATTTAAAATACTTATTACTTTATTCCTGGAAACTAATGCTAATTCGGCTGCACCCTAAAATTTGGCAAACCCTCCCTCGGTCGATGACATCACCAACACCATGGGAGTGTGACTCACCATGGATATTAAGGATTATTAGGCTTCCAGCCTGTATTAAATTTCGGTTAATTAACTAGGTCTGCCTTCGTGTTTTGACTAATGAAGACAAAAGCGCGTTAATAATATCATCAGTGTACCTACCATGAGTTAGTTATGTTACCATGTTAGGTGTGCTCGCTAGCAAGTACGTCAAAAATCTCTATGAAGATTTCGTTTCTTGTAAGTAGCCGCTAGGGGCGCTGCACTAGAGGTGGGCGCCGATATAAAATTGGCCGGCGGCGGCGCGCCGACTTTTTGACCTCGGCGGCGGCGGCGTCGGCGGCGTGACCTTGTTTGACCTTTGTTCATTAGGTATTTTTTTTAAATCTGCTTTTTTAGTATCTGTCGTCAAGAGTAATCAGGTAATTTGCAGTTGGTTGGGGTTTGAGCCACTAGAGTAGTGGTTTACCCTAGTAAATTAGCTCTCTTGATCATAGATACTTTGATATTTGGATAGCGGGTTTGGCTGAGATCAGGTTCTCGTGTATTTCCTAAAGGCGAGCGTACCAATGTGCCGATAAAAGTACCCTTAACATGTATTTGTGAGCTCTTTGGAGGCACATAGTTAATGTTGGATTAGCTGACTGTCGGTGGAATATTATATTCAGTTCTGTTTGATTTATATTTATGGTCTTTCCATGTCATCCTAAGGTCCAGGATTTTAAGCAGGTTGATTGCAGCAATGTGTCTTTCTGGTGTCTGGGCTACTTTACTAGTAGATGTTAAATTATAGAGTATCGGACCAAGTACAGAGTCCTGGGGTACTCCAGCTCTGCAGCTAAAAAGAGAAGATTTTGTCACCGAGTTTGATTTAAAACTGTCTGTCACTGAGATAGGAATCCATCAGCAGGTAGTAAAGTGTGCTAGAAGGTACTTTTTAATTTCATAGAGTAGTCCTTTATGCTAAACTCAGCTGAAGCCGCAGCGAAAGCAGACGTACAGGATTCTTTCTTTTCTAAACATTGTACTGATTATGGTTGGTATGGTTTCTGCCAAAATTTATGGTCGGGTATACTACACTTGCGAGCAAAAGTATGGAATCACTTACATGAAGTTGTTTCCACGCGATCTTATGTACTAACCAATTTGTTAGTAACAAAAAAAGTAGCACCATTTTAAAGATTAAACTTTTAACTTTAAATTGATACCAAATTCATTTAAATCACACCGGTATTTCCATGTTTGAGGAGTTTGATTGTCGCAGGGGCAGTGATCATCTGCGACTATATGGAACCTATGCAGGTAAGATTTGTGGTAGCCGTGGTTGGTCAACATTTGTGTTATGGCGAAATTCGGCTTAACAGTTTTTATGTACTCCTGCAATGCGTCATAACTAGGAAGGAGGGATCTGGTGTGGACGCAGGTGGTAGGGTCTTTGTTAAGTGAGATGCTGTGGGTGGTACATTATCTGCTCTGTAAGTGCTTATTTACTCTTGCCTTGACTCAGCCACTATTGTCTGCTTAGTTTGGGACTAGATGGCGCAGTGTAAGAATTTCCAAGGATATTATTTTATTGTCAGCCTTTTTCAAATATTTCACAAACCCCAGCCATACCTACCATTAAATGAAAACCGCAGGACAGGCCATTTAAAATACTTATTACTTTATTCCTGGAAACTAATGCTAATTCGGCTGCACCCTAAAATTTGGCAAACCCTCCCTCGGTCGATGACATCACCAACACCATGGGAGTGTGACTCACCATGGATATTAAGGATTATTAGGCTTCCAGCCTGTATTAAATTTCGGTTAATTAACTAGGTCTGCCTTCGTGTTTTGACTAATGAAGACAAAAGCGCGTTAATAATATCATCAGTGTACCTACCATGAGTTAGTTATGTTACCATGTTAGGTGTGCTCGCTAGCAAGTACGTCAAAAATCTCTATGAAGATTTCGTTTCTTGTAAGTAGCCGCTAGGGGCGCTGCACTANTAAATTTCCTGTGCCGAGGTTTGAACTTGGAACCTCTCGAAAACGCCGGTGTAAAAATCCAGTTCTAGCGCAACCGCGCTAACGTTGTGCTTAAGCGGTGTGACGAAATAAGTAGTTGGGTGATGCCGATGATTGACACAACCGAAAGTCACTGCTACTGTTGAGTTTTATTTTAGTTATACCCGCCGTAACAAAAACACTGAATGTAAACACCGTATGAACAAATAGTCTTTTTCAATAATAACATCACTTTTACACCTTTAATTTCAGTACCTTCATTATATATCACTTAGACACTTTAGTTAAACAAAATAATGTAAAATGTTTGTGGTTCTGACGATTATGATCCGAGAAATAAACATTTAAATGCGGAACCGACTAACATAGGTTTGCTCTCAACAACTACCGCCGACGAGGTGAAATAATGTTAAACAAACAACTTTTTATGGTTTAAAACTTTTTAAAGTGTAATGATCGAAGTTTTAAGTGTATTTTAGGTTCTTCAGTGACATAATTTGTGGTTCTTTAGTTCATTAAATGTGTATAATTGCAGTTTCACGATGCCCCGCTTCAACTACGATTCCACCACGGCCGTCTGCATCGCCACGGGTAAGTCTTATAAAGTCTTATTTGTTCTTCTTTCCATTATTTTCTGTGTTTAGGTCCTTTGGTTCGTTAAAAATAAACTATGTTTGGCTTTGATGAATAGTTATGGACCGCCATTTTTCTTCTTTTATAATTGACATGGCAATGGTGTTGTAGGTAGTTCATAACTGCAAATTTATAGGATTTCTCTATCGTTGTTTCTTTATTTTGAGTCTGTTCGTTAAGATCTAGCTTTTTCAAGTCAATAACTTCACACATTTCCTAAATATGGTTGACAAGGGCGTAGCCCCTTATTCTATTTGCTAAGTTATTTAAATTACCTACACCTACCTACAATCGTGGACCTTTATATTCTTTATATTTTGAAACATGTCAATTCCACACAAGGTACTTGTATTAATAATGTCCTAACAGGCAAGTTATCATTTCATTGTTGATGAACATAAATTCACATTATCTATTATTTAGATCTTCTTACTCTGAGATGGTTTTCATATGAATAGTTATGTAATTTTACACGTAGGATTATTTACTGTTGAAATTGGTGTTACATTAGGTATTTAAAATACACAAGTAAGCATAACTTTAGTTCTTATTATAAACAAAGCATTTATTGAATCACATCTAATTTAATTAATGTTTCAGTGTAGTTAAAATAATTGATTTGCTCTGAAATCAAATCAATAATAAGAACTTGATTGAATCCTTCTCAAATATTGGTAGGTAATATCAATGCAGTTTAAATATTATTTGAAAACCTTCAGATTTGCAATAGGATTATTTGCAATTGATACTACTTATATCCTGCGCTTGTTATATTTGTATTTATTTATCAATATTTTCAATTTAGTGTGTTGAATTCTGATTTGACATTCATCTTACTAGGTATAGGTACTTTTTTTTTAACTTGTATGAGTCTGGATCTGACCATAATATCTAGCCTTTTATAAATCAAGATTAATTTTTATAATCATGCTAAGAAAAAATTACAAAATACTAATTCTCAATTTATACATCATAGAAAGGGGAGAAAGACTCATTCATTATTATGAGTTTGTGGCAGCGTTATCAATTCATAAAATAATATCGCATTATTTTTTGGTATTATTAAAAAATGTCCTTAATCTAAACTAAAGGTTACAAGTAGTGGTAGTACTGGTAGGTACCTACATAATACATATTTTATTTTATGTGGTTGATTCGTTCTTTGACTGAACAAAGTCCACTAGTCCGGACTATCCGTCCGTTATTACAAGCGGCCCGATTTCTTTTTTGATGCGTCAATAATTTTCTATTACATTGATTACAATGTAATTATTATAGTGTTATATTTATAAAGGCATATTATTTCATGATGTCGCATCTCTTCTTATGAGAATTCTAGGATTCTTCATAAATAATTTATACGAACCAATTGTAAAACAATACATGGAGTTAAAACTGACTTTTTTTTTTTTGTAAATAAATAATAATAATAATAATAATAATAATAATAATAATAATAATAATAATAATGATGAAGCCTTACTTTGTAAGACTATCAATAGTATTATTCCCCGACGTCATCAATATCTCTATTCCCGTCAATAGCATCTTCCCCCCCTTCATATTTGAATAGATCCCGAAACTCAAGTTTCTCTTTGTCATCACCCACCTTGGATGTTGCGCAAGACGAGAACGATGTTCTTTTAAGTCATGTGCCCGCCAAGGCTGGCAAACGTACGCGAAAAGTATGGACTCACGAAATGAATACCTTCATATGGCGTACATACCTACTAATAACTGAACTTGAAACCAAAACTAGAACCTATCTAACTATCCTGCATCAAAAATTCATAGAACAGTTTCCCGAAATGACCGTATCTAAACAAAGAGTAGGAGACCAAAGACGAGCAATCTTACGCTGCAAATTACTAGATACCCAAACACTTACGAGAATTCAAGCGGAAGTAGCAGACATATTGAATAGCAGTACTGAATATGCAGGTCAACAAGCACAAGAAAATACAACTAACACCAGAATGCGATGGAATGATGAAATCAATGAAACAATTATGAGAATATACTATAAAATAACTCAGATGGAGACCAATACGACAGGTTATAGAAAATTGTTACATACACAATTCATTGAACAGTTTCCTCAATTGGCGCATATTTCAGAACAGCGAGTTGCAGATCAACGGAGGGTAATTGTAAACAATAAACTAATTACACATGCCAAGTTGGACGAAATTAGAAAGGAAGTAGAAACAGATCTCACATTAAATGGTAACATAGAGCCACAACAAAGTTATAACAATACTACTGAAAATCACACGTTAGAATCAGATGAACTAAATATAAATAACACAACCACAACAGAAAACGAGACAATTACCCAACACTTAAATGCGTCAAGTCATGATAATGAAGAACTTTCAGAGAGCAATCAAGAGCCTGGTCCACGAACAAATAGATTCAAAGATGAACAACTAAATACAAAAATTACTATTACATTTAAAACTGCCTTGAACACTTATACAAACACAGATCCAACCAAAAGACCACACATACCAAAACAAAAAGTAACAAAAAAACTGAGATACATAGTTGATTACATAAATACAGAATTAATACCAACACATCTTACCAGTGAGGATGATTTTATGACAACACAAACAGTAATTTATTGTGCAGCTTACGCTGCAGTTGTTAATAATGGAGCAAAGGTCTATCAAAATGACGGTAATAATAACCTTCCAAAGAAGAATAGGATGCCCTTCTGGCAAAAACGTCTGACAAATAAAATTGCTGATTTCAGAAAGTATATAGGCCAAATGACTGAATTTATAGGCGGTAATAGAAGCTGGAGACTTAGTGCGCGTGTATCCCGAATTAGGCAAACATTTTCCACTCATTCCCGACATGAAGAACCCAATAATAATGATCAACAAATATTAGACACGTTAAAACAGAAATTAAACGCAGCTGTTAGTCGACTCAAGAGATACAATAATTGTACGCTACGAAAGAAACAGAATACATTATTTACAAACAATGAAAAGCAGTTCTATGGACAGATAACTTTAGCAACACAAAATACAAGCACAACTACTGATAATAATACAACACCAACACAAGAAGAACTTAAGCAATTCTGGTCAGGAATATGGGCAAACGCGGTTCAACACAATTCTAATGCGGAATGGATAAAGTTAGAGTCAGATGAAAATGGATGCCTGCCACAAATGGAATTTGATAGCATTTCAATAGAAACCCTTCTTAAAGTCATCAACAAAACACATAATTGGAAAGCACCAGGTACCGACAACATCCAAAACTATTGGTACAAAAAATTCACAAACACCCACCCCTCTTTACTTAAGCATATAAATGATTTTATTCGCAATCCGGATTCAATGCCTCCGTATATTACCCAAGGTTTGACTTACATGATCCCTAAAAGCGCAGAACATCACGACCCTAGCAAATATAGACCAATTACGTGCCTACAAACTATATACAAGATTCTCACATCATGTTTAACCGAAATTATTTATGGCCACGTAGTAGACCACAACATTTTAGCTGAGGAACAAAAAGGTTGCAGGCGTAGTAGTCAGGGATGCAAAGAGCAGCTTATTATCGATTCCGTTGCTATGAAGTTCGCCCTAAAAAATAAAAGTGACATATTTTATTTTATTTTATTTTATTCAGAAAACCAACTGCATAATTAAAAAATTTACACGGATGGTACTTATAACTATGAGTAAAGCTAATTACAGGTTTCCCTTAAATAATATTCTTAGCATAGAACGTGAAACAAAAACAAAAATACTACATAATATGCAATCTTACCAATTTATATACCCTACACAATATATAAATAAATAAATAAATAAATACCACGCAATATATAAATACATATAACACAATATATAAATACATACAACACAATAATTAAATACATATACACCTACATAATAAACCTACATACATTTTTGTCTTTAATTTAATCACTCGTTATTTAGAATTCGTTATTTAGAATTTCCACCGCTTTATGTTTAACTACACCTTTGCTGTGAGCAAACAAATCAATATCCCGAAAAGTATCATTGTACGTTTGCAGCAACCGTGAGATAGGTGCATTACGCGCATAGTTAGTGCTCACCTTGGGAACCATGAACAATGAAGGGAGCCGCCGACGGCTGCGCCGGGTTGGTGCATTGTACCTTATACTCTCAACCAGTTCGGAGCAATCTACATTACCCTTCACTATGTCGTACAACAAACACAAATCCAGCATCTTTCGCCTGTCTTCGAGAGGGACCAAACCGTATTGTTTGCAACTTTCCTTATACGTCCTTGCCTCTGGCTTTGGGAAACGGTACTTCAAATGACGGATCAGGATTTTTTGCAGTCGCTCCAAACGGTCTGTGTAAATAGCATACTGTGGATTCCAAATAGGACTTGCATATTCAACAACGCTACGAACATAGGCAAAATAAATAGTCTTGATTGTCTTGACATTCTGAAAGGGTTTGCAGGTTCTCATTACAAAACCAAGGTTTTTGTAACCCTTATCCGCTATTATACCGATATGATCTCTAAGAAGCATCTTATCGTCGAGATGCACACCCAGATCTCTAACTATAGATGTTCTTTGGATAGCAATTCCATCAAAGTTATAAGGGTACATTAATGGTTTAGGTTTACGGGTAAAGGTGATGCATTCACACTTACTCGCATTCACCGTAATGTTATTTTTTTTGTAGTAGTCTGTTAGCCTATTCAGATCTGATTGTAACTTTAGACAGTCTTGTTCATCGTCTATTTTCATAAATATTTTTTTGTCGTCCGCATACATTAAGTGTCGGGCAGATGTGAAGCAGGACATAATGTCTGCTACATATACATTGTAGAACAGTGGCCCCAAATGGGATCCTTGTGGTATACCTGTAGGTATACTAATAAAATCTGACTTATATCCCCCCACAACAACAGCTTGAGAGCGACAGTTTAAATAGGATTTAATCCATCTGAGCAAATCGCCGTGTATTCCCAACCCTAACAATTTATGGATTAGAATGTCGTGATCCACACGGTCAAAAGCTTTTTCAAAATCCGTGTAGATCACGTCAATCTGTCCACCCCTTTCCATATTAGGTAACACATAATTTGCAAAACACGCTAAATTAGTAATTGTGGATCGGCGCCTGAGAAAACCATGCTGATTGTCCGGTAGTTCCTTACATATGACAGGGTATATGGCATCAAAAACGATCTTCTCAAACACTTTACCCACAGTATTTAATATCGAAATTCCCCTATAGTTCTCGACTTTGGACTTAGACCCCTTTTTATGTATTGGTACTATATGTGCTTTTTTCCAAATGTTCGGGAATATACCACTGCTCAAAGAGATATTAAATATAAAAGCCAATGGCAGACTTAATGTTTCAGCACAGTTCCGCCAGAAAACAGGCGGAATACCGTCGCAACCCGCTCCTTTATATGGATCTAATAGTTTTAGCTTATTTTCAACTGTAGTCTCAGATATAGAAATTTTAGATATGTCATCTCTGGTTACTCTGTGGTTAGTTGTATCAACAAACCCTTGTGAAGGCACCCCGAAAACGCTTTGAAAGAATTCATTAAAAGCATTGCATATATCTACACCATCTGAGACTTTCCTATCACGGTACGTAAGCATTTTAGGGTAACTTGAACCACCTCGTAATGACTTGACGTACGTCCAGATGGTCTTTGGTCTTTCAGCAATAGATTCTTCAGTCAACCTTGTGTACCTTGCAAAACATTCTTTTTGAACCCGTTGTTGACGCAAACGTAATAATGAAAATTCATCATAATCTAATAAATTACCAAATTTTTTCCATTTTTTGTGCGCTTTGTATTTTTCCTTTATAATATTTATTAACGCCCGACTATACCAAACCGGATATTTACGACTGCCTTGCACTTTCTTGTAAGGAACGTGTTGTTCAATTGTTTGATTGATTATGTCATAAAAAGAGTCAATTGCTTCTTCAACTGTATGAGATTCTAGAGTAGACTGCCAGTTTATTTTGAAAAATGTTTCATTTATTACATTATAGTCGCATTTATTAAAGTTTCGCTTTGGCGTGGCGGCTTCTATCAGCGGTGAAACTGTGAGGTCGAGAACGTTCAACAAAAGAGCTGGATGAGCTCGATCCGGTTTGACTAGGGGTGAGGAGCAGTGAGTGATGTCTAGAGGAAGGTTTGAGAAGGCTAAATCTAAGGTATTACCAGCATAATTCTTTAAGGTGTTATATTGTTTCAATCCGAGAAAACTTAATTCATCGGTTAACTTTGCTGCTGCAGTTTGTACCTCGGTGTTTCCGGTGTTATTGTGCGTGGGGCCGGTCTCATTCCATGATATGCACGGTAAATTAAAGTCTCCGATTAACAAGAAATTATCATGTGAATGAGAACTGCCCCTTAAACTTTTAACAACGTCCAACACGCAGTCCACATCGCACGGAATGCGATTATATTCCGGTGGTATGTATACAACGCCTAAATACAAGTCAACAGATGCCCCAAGCGCGCGAGCCGGCACACACACCGTCAACATTTCTAACTGCGCGGGCTGATCATAAACAGTGCACCGTGATGCCCCCAGCCCGCTACGTATCAAGATCATAACGCCACCACCACTTTTTTTATTGCTCATTGTAAGGTCTCGGTCATAACGAAATATATCGTAACGACAATCACAAAACTCCCTGTCAAAAATCCCCGAGTGTAACCATGTTTCGGTAATTACAATAATGTCATAATCATTGCATAAAATTTGTTGCTTTAGATCTAAACATTTCGTGCGTAACCCACGCACATTTTGGTAGAAAATGTTCAAGTCAGATTTATTTTTTTGACTATCGAATTTTGCAACAAAGACTTACTTGCATATTTTACTCGCACAAAATTAATTAATGATTGGTAGCAATATACATTTGGTAGTACCAGTTGTACCATTATTTTAAATTTAAATAAAACCAACGAGTTTAAAAATACAAATAATAGTGGTATCCGCAAAAACTCAATATTACTTGGGTTGTTTTGTTTATGTAAAAGACATAGATTACTGCAACTAAGGTTAGTCACAAAAATTATAAATATTAAAATACTTTTACAATTATTATGGGGGTATTTTAATATCGGTGCGGGAGTATTGACGATCGAGGTGCCCAGCGGAACAAAGTTAGTTATGTTATGCTCACTAAACACAGGTGCGACATTATATGATTCGGGTGTGGTAAGTTGTTGGAAGCTATTTTTGCTATAACCAATTATTGATAAGAATAGATAAACGCATGCAATACATTTGACAATTTTATCTTTTTTCATAATAAGATACCAATCCACTAAAAAAAATGTGTTAAACAAAATATAGTAATATTTCACGTATAAATATAATGTAATATTTAATAACGTTACGATATAAATAATAATAACATATGCAATACTTTTTATACCAAATACTTTTTCCGAACCAAAATACAAATCTACTAAAACAATACTAAGTTTTTTCATTACATAGCGATATTTCGCGTTTCCATACAATAAGAAAAATAAACAATTTAGAACCCCAAGTTTTAGTTTGCAAATTAAATTATTAGAGCCAGCGATAACAAAAGGACGCACATTCAATGAGCAAGTACTCAATAATGCGCAAACCATCCTGACCTTGTTGGGGACCATAGATGAATAAATCTTAATAGAAGTGACAAGCAAAAAAACATAATCGAATAAGATAATAGTAGACTTAGAATTTGTATGAGAAATGCTACAAATATTAAAAATAGCTAAATAATATAAAGTGAATCTATGCACTGTCCTCAAAGTTAATTCACCAAACCGATCTTTTTCGTGAGATCCTCTTCCTCGAGTATTTGAATTGCTGGACTGGTGTCGTTTTGTCGCATAAAAATCCGCCCGTTTTTTGTCCATACGTGCTGGTACTCTTTCCTCTTTGCTACCTCCTTACATTTTTTAAGCAATTGCTTGTTGTGGGGTGTTAGATGTTCATTAATATAAATTGGCTTAGAGTCTCCTGCGATGCCAATATCTTTAGTACAGAGACGTTTTTTACGCCCAAGAGATATAATGTTGTCTTTCAATAGCCTAGTCTTTAATTTGGCGATAATTACTCTGGGACGTCCCGGAGACTTTACTTTTGGAGATACTCGATTCACTTGTAAAATGTCACCTATTGTAATGTTCACTCCAATATGTTTACAAATTTTCAAAATGTACTCACTTGGATCTTCATTGCTAATTTCTGGTATACCAATCACTTCAATGTTCAATTGTCTATCTCTTTGTTCATTTGAGTTTATAAGTGATGTGATATGTTTATTATTCTCTTTCAATATTTTCAACTCTGCTTCTAGGTTATTTATTTTCTTAGTTTCCCTAGAGAGGTCCTCTATCTTCTTCTTGTGATCATCATGTGAGTCGGATGAAAATTGTGCTGATTTTTGAAGCTCGGTAATTTCCTTTCTCACTTCATTCTGCTGCTTATCCAATTTTGCAATGCGTGACTTGAGTTCGCTGTATTCCTTTCTAATGTTTTTTACATCTGTTCTTAATTCTGCAGCGTCTTCCTTCAGTTTAGATAAATCTTCCCTGATCACACCACTCAGAGTCTCATTAATAAGAGCCAGACTGTTATTAACTTCAATTTTAAAACTGTCCATCTTTGACGTAATATCGCTGGATAGTGATTTGAATGCTCCCGCGAGGTCCAATTCCTGCTTCCGCCTCCGAGTCGTGATGTTTGATAACTCTGGGTCAGAGTCGTAACGCTTGTTTGTAGGCGGTGTGCGATGCATTTTAGCTCTAGTCTCTTCTAAACTTCAATAGGTCTATGGTGATGTTGATAGCGCACGGCACGAGGTGTCCCGAGTTTGAACGACGTTAGCCGATGGATACACGGCTCGCACTCCGCAAGCGTTCAAAAGATAGCAAGTGCACAGTAACGGATAACAGAAACTGAGTTCACACTTCACAGTTTTAGGGTCAAAATTGGTTTGACAAAAAAAATTGACAATATTTTTAATTTTGTGACACGTCCGTCAACGAGACGAGCCGAAGCCGAATCTACTATACTAAATATACTACTATCTAAATATACTNATAATAATAACATAAGCACAATGTATATCGATTACCGAAAAGCATATGATTCTGTCCCACACAGTTGGCTTTTATTTGTATTACAGATGTATAAGATCCATCCTACTATTATCTCATTCTTAGAAAATTGCATGAGTACATGGTCCACAAACCTTAAGTTAAAAACCAATACAACACAATTCATCACTTCAAGTATTCCTATTAAGAGAGGCATATTCCAAGGAGATGCTCTTAGCCCACTTTGGTTCTGCCTCGCTTTAAACCCACTGTCAAATATGTTAAATAAAACAAGCCTAGGAGTTGATATGACACTACAACAGGACTCTAATGCAAACACACCTGAGGACACCACATTCAAAACTCTCACACACCTAATGTACATGGACGACATAAAACTTTACAGTAAAAATACACATTCACTCCATCAGATAACACAAACCTTTTCAAATGATATAGGCATGGAATTTGGAATAGACAAATGTAAAACAGTAACTATAATAAGAGGAAAAATTGAAGAAAAAGAATATATACTAGAAAACGGCAATAAAATTGAAGCTCTAGATGCAAACAGTTCGTATAAATATCTTGGATTTCATCAGCTACGTCAAATCAACCAAAAACAAACAAAAAAAGACATTACAACGAAATTTAAACATCGGCTCAATATACTACTCAGGTCTCAACTTAACTCTAAAAACTTGACAAAGTCCATAAATTCATTTGCAATATCACTACTTACCTACTCATTCGGAATTATAAAATGGAGCCAAACAGATTTAAAACACCTACAGCGTATAGTACATACTACAATGACAGCTCATCGCAAACACCACCCGAAAGGATGTGTCCAGCGTGTTACATTACCACGAGCAGAAGGAGGCCAAGGCATCATCGACATACACAACTTACACAACAAACAGATTAAAAACCTTAGACATTTCTTTCATGAAAAAGCAGAGCAATCGATACTACATAAAACAATAGCCCACTGTGACAAAAATCTAACACCCCTGAATTTACATGACATTAACCCACAAAAGAATGAACACATAGTATCTGACCCCGAAAAAGCGTTCATGTGGAAGCAAAAATCTATACATGGCCGCCATTACCACGATTTGCACCAACTACAAGTCGACAAGGCAGCGTCGAATGCATGGTTGCAGCGTGGCGAAATGTTCCCCGAAACGGAAGCTTTCATGATCGCTATTCAGGATCAAGTGATTGACACCAAAAACTACCAGAAATACATCATGAAGAAGCCGAATATTACAGATACATGCAGAAGATGCCATAGCAGCCCCGAGCACATACAGCACATTACAGGAGCGTGTAAAGCTATCGTACAAACGGACTACAAACATAGGCATGACCAAGTAGCAGCAATAATCCATCAACATTTAGCGTTCAAACTTAGTGGATTGCAAACATTAGTTAGTCCTAAGAAAGTCAAAAAAAACATGTAACGGAATCTCCGACTTACTACTTTAGTAGAGCGATTACAGAAAATAATGGCCTATTAAGTACATGTTTTTTTGTGTTATTATGAAAGTTTAGAAAACTGCGCAGTTTTTAAAATTATATTGGACCTATGGAAATTCTTTTTTTTTCTCATACATTTCAGTTGAAAATTTTAGAATGTTCTGCTAAAAGCATATTTTTTATGTTTCTAGCAAAAATTTTGTATCTTGCACCAAAGATAGGAAGGTGATTATTTTTTTCAAATATCTGCAACTAATAGGAAATCTGTCAAAAAAAAGAAATCTGAGAAAAGTCAACCCAAAAAAGAGATAAAAAAAAATTAAGCCACTAGGTCATAAAATTTGAAAAAAAATCACAAAATTAACGATAACTTCTAAACTACGAAAAATCGTAGAACATACATGGGGGTGAAATCGATAGACCTAGTCCTCACCTATCACCTGCCTTCGGCTTGACACCTTACAAGAAACACCCTGTATATTTTATTACTATAGCATCCACGAACTTTCAGTTTTAAGAGCAGGATCGGCCACCAAGCATTGTTGAAGGCACCTGAAATATCGAGGAATATTCCTACAACGTACTTTGCCACCGAGGACGTCACTTTTTGTCTGACAGATATTACTGCATCTGCAGTAGACTTCCCGGCGGTAAAGCCAAACTGCTGCTCGTGAAAAATTGGACCACCCGGTAGCAAACGCGGCACTACTAATCGCTCTAACAGTTTACCTAATGAGGGAAGTAATGTAACTTAACGTAACTTAGGTACTATGCACACACTGTTGGGTACAGCAGTCTTTACACAATAACTTTCCTTAGATAAA